TTTTATACCGTCGCTACTTTTACCCTCACCGTTGGAATCATCCAGTGCGAGTCCGGTCGAAATGCGAAACTAAAAAGGAAGAAACCTGCGTGTAACAGTGTGGCCGACAAGCAGGTGAAATAGAGACGGGACTCGGGCACATCGGTTGGTAAACGTCGGCGGAGAAAGAGCCACACGGGGGACAGCGTGGCCGCTGTTAGGCACCGCCCGTTAACAAACAACTGTGCGCAGCGTTCTTTGGGGTAGTTAAAATGTCGGCGCCCAGGACGGATATCCCTCCAAAGAGCCGGTGCCGAAACCCAAAAGCCCAAGGTGGCCACTGTGCCGGATGAGAAACTTGGCCTAGTTGAGCGCAATCTCGGCGAAGGGGCATCCATAGTCCGGTCGGAGGCTAGGCGGCGGTGGCATAGGGAGTTTCGCTATGCCCAACATGCCGTAGATGCGGTTCCAGGGGGTCGTGTGACAACCCCCTCCCACAGAAGCGCGTGAGCATGCGGGATAGCCGGACCGCAAAGTGTTGGAAATCTCGGTCGTTTTGCTCAACCTGATCGGTTTCCTGAGCGTTCGGGACATTGTCCATCAACGAAGCCGACTGGACAACAAAACAAGTTATGAGAGCATCTAAAAGGACCCGTTGCTGAAGTTGTTACCAGCTGAGAAAGTAAATACCAAGGCAAAGCCCTGCTCGGGATTCCAAGTCTTAGCACGTTAATCCGGAGGGCTTTCTGACTTCCCAACTCCATGACGTGATGTCACCTTTGCACGCCCCGGCATGGGCCACAGGCGCTAAGCACCTATTGAACACGTTGGACGGACATCTCGACAGAAAGCAAATCACTTCAAGTCCAACCGAAGAAGCAGAAAACTGTTTGCTACGCAAGTTGGAAGCAAAGAAAGCCCCAAACGCTTCTAGTGTTTCTATAAGACACTAATGCCGTACCTCCACAATCTAGCCTGATATCAAGTTCCACGGCTCTCGCCCGGAAGAGGTTTCAAGTGGCTAGCAAGGCTGTGTCCCATACCTCTTTGCAGGAGCATGGCAGACGTTGATCGCCTCCACGTTGAGGCCGTCTGGGGTTCTCGCATGCGAGTCCGTGGGCCGCGTCGTGAGCAGCACATGACCCGTCCCGACCGTCGCCAAGAAGTCAAAGTCCATCTGGTGCGACTTGCGCTGGTGGTCGCCCACCTTGGGCAGCAGCGCGTAGGCCGGGCCGAAGATGGCCAGCCCGAGCAGGCCGCCCAGCCCTTGGGACTGCGTGTTTGTCCGGAAGATGTCGCGGAGCTCCACCTCGGCCAACCCCACGGTCCCCTGCGTGAAGGCGAGGGACGCGTTCTGCCCGCCGCCGCCGCCGCCGGGGACGTCGACGACGCCGCTGCGGCGCTTACGGTAGTGGTCGAGAGCCAGGCCGTTGATCTTGACCTCCTTGAGCGACAGGATGTTGCGGAAGGCGGTGCCCATGATCTCGAGGTGCATGGCCGAGGTGAACATGGCGGCCGTGCCGAGCGCCAGCGACGCCAGCAGCGCCAGGCTGCCGATCTGCGTCGTCGCCGTGTTGTTGGGGCTGTTCTCGGTCATTTGCGCCGATGTCCAGGCGGCGAAGCCCGACGACAGCGTCACGCCCATGACGAGCATCGTGTTGGCGATGACGCGGTCGAGCGCTAGCGTCGACGCCGCCGTCGCCGTCGCCCGCTCCGCCCTCTGCGTGTCGGCGATGGTGCCCAGGGCGGCGCGCAGCTCCGTCTGGTCGCTGGCCTCCTCTGGGGCGCCGGAAGAGAAGGAGTCGTGGCTCCGGAGGAGGGTGGTCGAGGAGGAGATTTGGCCCAACTTTTCGTTGAGAGGCACGGGCGGGGAGGGCATAGGGTCGACGACGGAAGGAGCGTCGGGGCTGCCGAAGGTGGCGGTAAAGACTGTCGGCACGTACGAATCGCTGGCCTTGTCGATGCTGCGGAAGGAAAAGGACGAGCCGGACGCGTGCCGCGGAAGCTTGTTGGTCTCAGCCACGACGAAGTTGGCCCGCTCCAGCAAACTCCACGCGGCCCCGCCAAAGACGTTGCGGAAGAAGCGGAGGCAGACCATCCACACGTAGCAGAAATGCACCGCGTAGGCGGCCACGAAGAGGATGACTATGGTCAGACGCGGGAAGCTGTCCGGGTTGAGGTTACCGGTGAGGAAGCCGTTGAAGAGGAGCGTGCCCATGAGCATGAGGACGACCAGCCAGAGCGACATCCATTCCCACACGAGAAGCTGGGCGACGTTCTTTGTCAGGGCGGACCCGGACGTCAGCCAGAGGGCCCGTCGCTGCTCCTCGCCTTCCGGTGCCGCCGAGGCTTCCATGCGGCCCTTCGCGACCCTGCCGTTGCCTCCGTCTTTGGCCATCTTGCCGATGTAGAACAGTTTAATGGCATGGCCGCTTGCCCCCTGGGAGGCTGAGGCGGCCTTCGCCGGGTCTTGGGCCGACGCGGGCCAGGCCGCGTTCAGCAGTGTGCCAATGTTTGCCTCGATGGGCCGTCGCGGATACAGACTCGTCGTGGCCATGAGGGAGCCGCGCTGGATGAGGATCGTGTAGGTCAGGGTAACGAGGCCGACGGAGAGGATGGCCATGGCCGCCTCGGCCAGCCTCGCGCTAAGGGGCAGCTGGAGTACCTCCAGGCCCGCGCCCACGGCATCCGAAACTTCAGGCATGGTCCAAGCCTGGCCGAGGAATAGGAAAACCAAGAGGCCGATGGCCAGCTGCATGAGGTACTTGAAAACACCAGGTGCCGACAAGCGGCCCATGGCGAGCCATTTTGTCAGGAGATGGGGGAGCTGGTGGTGGGAGCCCTCCCATCCTGGAGCTGCATGGCCCATTGTCCGAGCGGTGTGAAGGAAGTGCACAAACAGGGTGGGGTTATTTGCGGCTGAGGGCTTGGCGCTGTAATAAGGAGATGAGCAAACAAATGCAGGAGCTGCTCTGTTTGAATCGAAAACGCCCGAGATAGCTGAATACCGTCTTCGCCCTCACAGCGATGATTTTTCTTCGAGAAAAAAAAGACTACTAAGGGCAACTCGAGATTCTTACCAAGCTACCGACCGTGGATCTCTCCGTATTTATCCTTTGTGGTCCTACGGCCTCGGCGATGTGTAGAAAGACCATATTTGCCACCACCCTGCAGTGCGCGGTACGCACAAATCCCCACCATCCTGCGGGGGGTGGCACGTGGATGGGAGCGGGAGAACCGCTATTGGTAGACCGTTTGGGCGGCCTGCGAGGCGCACCGGCGGTAGCAAGCCCAAGCTACCTCTAATGTGCTGATGTGCTGCGGGCGAGACCTCATACACGGCCACGGAAGCAGGCTCGGCGAGACCTTTGACTGGTCGGATGTGCCGAGGGGCCAGCAGCTAATGCAGACTTTGTCACCAAGGCGGCCAGCGAGGCAAACCTATGGCTGTCCGCCAACATGGATTGATGAAAAACTCTTTTCTGTAGCCGTCTGACAAACATCATTATATCATGGCGCGAGCAGCTGTTGCACATAGCTGGTAGTTAGGGCTCCATTTCAAGCATGATCATATACCACTACAAGGGGACACAGAAAATTGGGGACTGTATATACTCTCCGGGCGCTCGATCCGGAACACTTGGACCAAGTCCTCGTCTGGGTCATCCGGGGCCAGGTTCAGGTACCCGTCCAGAGACCACTTTGGCCACATCACCTGTGCGAGAGTGACAATAAGGTCTAACACGTGAAGACGCTCTTCGTAATGCTACTCATCTAGAATGGGAGTTTGCGGCCATACGATAGTTCATAATAAACGAAGGATATCCCAACTAGTAACCAATTTCTAACCAAACCGACCGAACCCCTCCCTACCAAGAGGTACTTACGCTAGACGTACATAGTAGAAAAATCCGAAGTGAGATGGAGCAAGCCAGAGCCAAGCTCAACAAGAGATAGTCGACACCAAGTTAGATTGTGCGTTGGAGCTAATAATCAATCAGCCGCAGCTTCTTTCCGACATTGTTCCTCCGAGCCTGCACCGCCGCCCTCTCCGAGGCTCGCGTCTCCCCGGTGTCGAACTGCGTGTTGCGCGCCTTGAGGGCCTGCAGAAGCATGCCAGCGTCGAAGAAGCCATCTAAAGAGGATTCTGGTCAGCAAGGAGACTCTTTAAAAGGGAAAAGGGCATACGAGGGACAGAAAGAAAAAGACTCACATCCACCAAGCTCATCGTCCTCGCTCATGGCGATGCTGTCCGTCGTCGGCGACGTCGTGCCCGTGGCCGAGCGCTGCGACCGAATCATCTCGGACCCCGTGATCATCCTGCCCCTCGACTTGAACCGGTTGGGCGGCGGCCGCGCCGCCGCCCGCTGGTCCCTGCGGAGCTGCTGCTGCTGCGCCAGCTGCTGGCGGCTCCTGATGCCGTCCACCTCGCGCGCGCGCGTCTGCTTGGACGACGGGGCCGGCAGGCCACCGCTGCCCTGCGCGACGGCGCCCTTGCGCGACGTGATGCGCAGCACCCGGCGTATCTCGAGCAGGTAGCCCTCGAGCGCGTCCACGAACCGCCTGGTCTGCCGGTGCTTGCTCGAGACGCAGACCGAGATGCTGTCGTCTTTGATGATGTAGCCGATGCCGAAGCCGTCGCCCGACACGGGGCCAAAGCCGAACTGGCGCAGCGACGGGTTTCCGCAGTTGGATGTCGACAGGATCGTCGTGTTGAGCTTGTCCCAGCCAGAGTCCGCAAATATAAGCGGGAGCGGCGCAAACTTCACAGACCGCGTCGTCGAAGTGCTTTCACCCCGCTCGCGCGTCGGCGCCATCATTTGCGACCTGCCGCCGTTCTGGTCCGGCACGTGCTTGTCCATCATGGCGTGCTTGAGTGACCGCGACGATGTCGTGCTGTCGTCTACTTCCCGCGTGACTCCATTCTGCTGCTGTCGCGACTCCTCCTCGTCCAGCTTGCTGCTCCCCACCGCCAGCGCCGGCAGCAACGGGGAACCAGGCACCGACGTTGCATCACACACATCATCATCCATGACGGGCGAGGAGGCGGTGCCATTGCTCATGGGGCTCGAATATCCGTTTGTGCTGGGCGGCCCACGGCTGTTTGCCGAGGCCTCCTCATCCGCCAGCCGCTGCCAGAGCGAGAATAGAGCGTAGAGATGTCGGTCGCAGCCCTGTGCCTTTGCGCACTCGCGCGTCATGTCGACGTGGCGCCGGCACGCCGTCCTCAAGGCCTCCACCTTGGCCTCGGCCGGGTTGTCGCCCCAGAATGTTTGCATGAAGTTGACCGAATCGCCCGTCACGGGCCGCACCGCCTCGGTGCGGCCGTGCAGGAACACTTTAGTCATTGCTGGCTCGTACGTGCACTCGACGCGCCCGTACAGACCGTAGTAGGCCGCCTGGTACGCCATCTGCACAAAGGCGTCGGGCGAGAGGCCCATGGAGGTGATGAAGTTCTTTCCGTACGACTGGAAATCGAGGCACTCGAATTCGTTCTGCCCGATCAGGTCGGCCAGACGTGTCTCGGCGAAGCGCACGGCGATACTGACCTCGGGCGTCAGGTCCCACTCGAGCTTGTGCGGCGTGGGATTAACGTCCCCGAAGCTCTCCGGGTCGCGCTTGGACGGGTCCGGACTGGTCGACGCCCAGAGCGTGGGCGAGCGCCCGTTGATGGTACGCGCGAACCGCAGGATAGTGTCGGTGTAGACATCGCTCGCAAACCGGAGCACGGTGTGCCCGTCCACGCCAGTGTGCTCAAAGTTGATGCCAGCACTGCCGTTCTTGCACACAATGATCTGCAGCTTGTCGTAGTACCGGTTCGTGCAGGTGCCGATCTGCACGCCCTTTTCTATGTCGCTGGTGCCGCAGAGCATGTTCTGGCAGAGAGCCGCCGCCGTCGTCGGTTCTGTGTAATCAAGACAGAGCACGAAGAGGGCCGAGTCGACGATGCCGAGGCAATCAGCGTTGTTGGATCCCTCTTCCCGCATCAAGATGTCTCGGAGCCCCGACCACACCTTGCGGTTTTCCGTGCTAAGCACCCCCAACGCCCCCTTGGCGGCCTCCTGTATCGGCGTCAATATAGCGTCGTCGACAATTGTCTGGAGGTTGATGGACAGGTCCTTTTCGGTCATGATAAGGTCCGAATTATCGTCCAGAACATCGAACCAGTAGAACTGCCCGTGGCACATGACGATGATGTGCTTCGAGTTCGGATCCTGCTCGATTTGGCAGCCGTTTTCCGTTGGGACTCGGGCTGTCCCGAACAAGCGCGAGTATTGATACATGCATAGCGGCGTGTTCTTGATCTTGTCAGGTGGCAGCTCCTCTTTCCTCACGGCGCGCACAAACTCGAGCGCCGATATGACCAAGGACGCCGCACGTGTGACCTGGTTATTCCTTGCCGGCGTTGGGTCATCTTCGAGCAAGAAGAACGGATTCAGGTTGAGGACGACAGGGTTATCAAAGTTCAGATATGAGTCGTACCCTGTAATCATCAAAGAAATTAGCCACCGCATTCTCGGTGTATAAGGCCCCAAATTCTCTCCATGACAGGGCGTGGAATGGGAAGAAACGGAGTTGTAGCCACGTACAGAATTGCTCGATGTAACTGGACTTTCCCTCGGCGTATTTCTTCAACTTCTCCTGGAGTTCAGGTCCTTCTGCCCGCATAAACTCTCGGACGGCGTGCCTGGTCTCGGCGTGCTCTCGGGGTGACTGAAGCGGCCTCAGCGCTGCCAGGTACTTTTCGCACGTCTTTTCCAAGTCGGGAATGGGAAGTTTTGGGAGCTTGTCCTGGGCGGCAAACGTGATGCCGCCCTCCTCTAAAATCTTTTGATTGTACAGAGACATGTCGTCCCTTTTCTGAGCGCTCGGCGATAGGGCCGAGGTTGATGGCCTTGGCGATGACTTGCCTATCTCGGCGTACACAGGGGCGCAGTTTGGTGTGGGCTCTGGCGGGGCGTTGCGAGAGGCAAGGGTCTCATCAAGAGACCTGGGCTGGGCGAAGCGGCGGACTGGGGTTGGCATAGCGTTCGTTCATCAGCATCGACTAGGCTCTGAATCACGCGAACAGGGGCGAGACGGAGGTGCAGATGTTGAGACCGCGCAGGGCGGTGCGGTAGAAGTAGTGACAATCGTGGAGACAATAGGACGGCATCCCACTGAGGTCTGGCAGGCTATCGCAGCTAGGCTACTGGGCGGGGATATGGAGGGTGGTGCAGAGCGAAGGGGAGATGGCAGACATCGCAGACAGAATGAGGAGGAGCAAGTGCATGAGGGGGTGAGGTTGATATGTACCTAGATGTAGGCAGCAGTATGGAGCAGAGCACAGCCCTCCGGCTAGACGCGCCGAGGAAGCACGGGGACGTCAAGGGGTATTATGTATGGAACGGCTCGGCAACTAGGGCGAGAGTCAGCCAGGCCCCCGACACCTCGACGACATGCCCAGGTGTGGGGCACCTGAGGCGTTCCTCAGATCCGGCACCATGTAACCTGGAAGGGCGGGCGTTGGCGTTTCCAAGGAACGTACTAGCAAAGGTACCGCGGCGCTGAAGCGAGTGGGCGAGGAGAGCGGGAAGGGACCAGGCAGGTACGCAGTAGCCCAAGGGGTGGTGGGTGCAGCCGTTCGTGCCAACAAGACTGACATGTGGGATGGATAAGGGAGAGGGATTGGGTGTGGGACTAGTTGGCACAACTGCCAGCCGGCTCTCGGAGGCACCCCTTCACGAGGACTAGCATGAGTGGTCAAGACTCCAGCGACGGAGCATTCGGGTAGCCCAAAGGGGATACCCCGTGGCCTTGACGGGGGCTGACGCCGCAGACTCTTCATCCTCCGCATGGCCGAGGCAGGGGGAGGCAGGGATCATGCGGCTGTCCGGGGCGGACAAGGCTTTACCGTCCGCGGAGACGTGGGGGACCCATGTTCGCCTATTCAGAGTGACAGGATGCGACTAATAGGCACAAAGAAAAGCAGTGCCACACGTACCTGATGACGGCGGCGAGAAGGAGGGTGTGGTGCTTGCTCCTTTGATGGACCTTGAAGGCAGGGCTTTCATTGATCTCGGAATGTTGGTTGTCAGGTGTGTGGGAAGCCAAGTGAGGTGGGATTCAGCCTGTTTCCATGTGCTCAAAGTCCTGTCAGACACGCCGTGAGGGCTGTGCAACAAAGCCAGCGCCAGACAGATAGGAATACACCCTTTCCTGTCGCCCTGCCGGCTCCCCGGTGAGTTGCCGGATGCCAAATAAGAAGGGGTTGCCAGCCTGCCGTCTTGCAGTAGTACACTTGCGAGCTGCAATAAAATCCAATGAAAAAGTTTACTATACAAAACCCTCGTCAGCTACGGGCGGATGGGGAATCTAGGGCAGGAAGATCCCGAGGGCGGCCGAGGAACGAGGGACAGCCACCATCCAGATGAGCAGTGTGATGCAGCCCAGTTCCCTGGACGGCTTGATCGGCAACGTGGAGGAGGACGTGGCGACCACCAGCGATGACGGGCTTGCCAAGCCCCAAGGCTCCAGAGCTGAGGGCTCCCCAGCACTCCCCCGCAGGTGGATAAGGTTGCAAAGACGGAGAAGAATTAGGTGTTTCCGAATCTATGGAGAATGCCGTTAGCGGCCGCGGTGGAGGGATGGAGAGAGTTGAATCTTCAAGTCGCCGTCGGCGATGGCCAATATTTTCTTCTGTTCGGGCAAGAGGGACTTTTTTCGTGTTTAACCAATTGACGTGCTTTGCGTCGCACCTACCGTGACCTTCCCATGAGCCTTTTTGAGCAAGTGGCTGCATCACGCGCCGCGCGAATCAGCAATCAAGTGTCACATGCGGGGGAGCTCCTGGGATTGGCGAGGGGCTGCCACTGAAGACCCCTTCAGCCGAGCACCCCTGCGGCCTTTGGTTCTGTGACGTCGCCCAAGCTGCGACTCTGCCAAGCAGCATCAGCAGCAATCCGAGGGCTTCACAGGGCGGCAGGGTGGAACGAACACGTTGACCTCGGGAAATACTAGGTACGGTGGGCAGGAGAGAAGTGAGGAACGAATTGATGGGTGCAGCAAACTAAGAACGACGACCTAAATGCCATCCCTTCCATGGTAGCCGTCCGTTCTCCAACGGTCGGGGCGAGCCGTTTTCGTTTCAAGAACAAAAAAGCACGTGAAAGCTTCCTTTCCAATGCACCCGTGTGCATGTGCTAGCGCCGTTCCCGTGCCCAAGCATCCACGACGAGGCCAACCCTTGACTCCCGGCCGAACGGAACCTCAGCGTGTTCAGCTGCCTCCCAGCTGCTGACGGACGCCAAGCCAGCTCCAGATTCCCGTCCTTTTTGCCATGGCGATGGTGGAGGCTGTGCCATGTTCCCCCACAAAGTTGTGAGTGCTGTTGTTGCCGCTCGCTAATTCCGCGGTCGGCCTTATTAATATTTCTTCCGAAGACCTAGGTGTTGTTGCTACTATTTATCATGGGACCGTCTGGTAGTACCGCCATAAGATGACGACGAGGGGGACCACAGCAAAGAAGAAGATCAAGAACTCTGGCAGCAGCGAGCCCTCCTCTGAGAGGGATTGATGTGAGGTAGGTAGGGTTTTGAAAGCCCAGTCTTGAAGTCTTCATCATCACAGTCAATCCTAACCTCGGCCAACATCTGTGAAACGAAATTTGGCCATCGCGGGCTTATCACCACCACCAAGTTACAATCGCCTCACCAAAATTCGCCTTCTCCACCTTTCGGCGCTTTCGGGACTTGGTGCAGGCGACGTACTTGAATGTCCTCGCAAGCTCAGGAGGGACGGCGAAGAAATCTAGGTTGCGGGCTGTAGGGTATGCCCCTAAATATTCACAGAGACGACCCCTCGCGGGAACAGCCGTTAGAGGCGCGAGAGGGGTCATCTAATGCCCGGCAGTGTGCGCAACGCATACGAGAAGAGCAGTTTTCCCATGTCTCCAATGCATGTCTCACTCTTCTCGACCACCTCTCCGTCCGCCGTCGCCTCGCCTTCTGAGCGGGGTCGCACTTAGGTTGCACGATAAGGAGGCTCAAACGAAGACAGTCGGCTCCGAAAGCGAAACCGCGACCGAAATGATCCATTGGCGGGGACACTGAGGCAGCGCCACTCCCATTATCACGACTTTTGACAACACCAATGGCAGCCTGGGGTCCAAGGTGGAGGCTCGGCAGGCCACCCGAGTGCCAAGCCCACTGTTTGGTGGGTCGTTTTCCAGAAACCTTCACTTTCTAGCCGTGTTTTTTTTTTATTATGTCGGGAGAAAATCTCTCCATTGCTTATTTTGCTTTGGATGGAAAACCCACTACACGTCGCCCTCTATTGGCCATTTGACGAGACTAGCGCCATTGTAGTCGACTCGTCAGGCTAACAGGGCGTGATGGAGGCCTCAGCCTATCGAGGTAAAAAAGGTGCCAATTACGTGGATCGAACCCCACGCCTTGGCACGCGTAGACAAAGGCTTGTCTACTAGCGTACCGCGGGTGGCTTGGCGTGGTGAGCATGCAAGCAGACACGCAGGGTCTCTCTTTCCCTGTTGGGAAGAATAAGATGTTTAGGATACTGCATCCACCATTACAGCCGCACCCACCCAGCAAAGAAGGGAAAAGTTTTACAGGGAAATACACCACCGTAATAGAAACCAGGGAGGCATTCCTCACTCGCAGCAAACACGGCCGCAGTCGAGTTTGGCCCTTCTCCATGTCACGTTCCCCGTCGCGAGACCAGACATTGTGCCACGACGACTGGGCCAAACACCTCCAGCACCCATGGTTTGGTGCCTGACCGCCCCCTCGTCCTCTCCCTCCCCCTCGCCAAGGTGTGTTGTACTCCTACGTGATCGCGCTCTTGTATACCCCGAAGGCGATCCGGCTGCATCTTCCGGTACGCCCGCGTCTTCCAATCGCTGGGCTAGCAGCAGCTTCACGGGTGGCCATGTGGAGAAGCAGGAAAAACAGAACCCATCGAGGGTGACGCGCGCACCCCTATCCTCGAATTTCGAGGCGGCGCAGTTGACCATGCCGCCGCAATCTCTTCTCTTGCCCACCTTTCCACCCACATCTTTCGGGCTAGTCTCGCATTCGTACAGCCCGCACGGCCACGTACGCATTCCCAACACCGTATCAGGGCCGCCAGCCCGCGGGGGGCGTTGCACTTGTGCCCGATCGTGTATATATCTTGGCATGCGGCTCTCCGGCTCTTGGTTGCCTTCCCATCACCTTTCACAAACGAGCCCCGAGACCTCCCTCTCCTCCCAAGTCGCCAGGCGCCAACTTCGCCCTAAAACTTCGAGTTCCCACAGACTGACGCATCGACACACCAGCCTGTCATGATCTCGCTCTACCGGCATATAAAGAAGAAGCAGGCGCGGGAGAATGGCGGCAAACCTCTAGCTCCGCCTCCCTGCGTCCACCAGAGAGCCGGCACGGGGGCCCTTCAAATCGACCTGCCGAACAGCTCCAGCGGCCCCCTGGCCTCGCAAGATGAGCCCAAGATCGAGGCCGAAGCTCAGACAGAACCACCCATCTCGAGCGGCAAGTGTGAGAGCTGCCGCGATGAAGCGCGAGCAGCCACAAAGTACAGGATCAAGATCATTTGCGGACTCATGCTCCCCTTTGCTCTACAGGCCCTGGACGTCACCATGTCAGTGCCGGTTGTAATATCAAAGGCTACCCGTAAATCATGTCTGTTGACTCTGGGCCCCATCGCCACTTGATATCTAGTGTTGCCAGTGCACTACCATGGATTGCCAAAGACTTTAGTACGTATCTGCCATCCATCCTTCTTCCAGCCCAACACGCAGCTAACCCGGCCTACCTGCCAAAATCAGACGAGGTTTCCCAGCTCAACTGGATCATCTCGGCCTTCAACCTGACCTCGGCGGCCTTCATTCCCTTTTGGGGCCAGATGGCCGACGTCTTTGGCAGGCACCCGACCCTGCAGACGTGCGTCCTCATCATGATGGCCGGGAGCGCCCTCTGCACGGGTGCGCCGACCGACGCCTTTCCCGTCCTCCTGCTCGGCCGCGGCCTCCAGGGGCTGGGCTGTGCTGGCATGGGCGCCATCGTCCGCATCATCATCGCCGACAAAGTCAGCCTCAAGGAGAATGCCAAGAATTGGACCATATTTGCGTTTACCGCCGGCTTGAGCTACAGTATTGGTCCAGTCATAGGAGGTATGTCACCACCCTTTTGCGCTCCCAATTCTACTCTGAGCTTATTGGGGCCAGGCAACAAAGAGAGGGAGGGACAAGAGCACTGACAGCCACTCAGGCTACCTTACAAGCACAAACTGGCGCTGGTGCTTCGGCATCAACCTCCCGATCTGCGCCGCCTCCGTCGTCCTCGTCTTCCTCGTCCTGCGCAAGGAGCTCATCGGCCCCCGCCCCGTCCGCCAGCGCGCTGACAACGGGGTCACCCTCGTGGCCGCCCCGGTCCCCACCGGCCGCCTGGCGAGGTTCTGGACCCGCCTCAGCACCGTCGACCTGGGCGGCCAGCTCCTGTTCCTGGCCGGCTTCGGGCTCGTCGTCCTGGCGCTGACGTGGGGCGGTGTCTCGTACGCGTGGGCCAGCGCACCGGTCCTGGCGTCGCTGTGCGTCGGCCTCGTCCTCGTCGCGGCCTTTGCCCTGTGGGAGAGGTCCATGGCGCCCGGCGGCACGCTGGCTGCCAAGTTCACGCGCCAGAGCGCCATGATCCACTGGGAGCTCCTCGCGTCCAAGGATGTTGGCCTGTTGGCCTACATCAACTTTGCGACCGGCGCCGCCATGTACTCTGTCGGTGTTTCTCTTTTGCCCCATCATACTTGTTGTTTACTGACTGACCGTCTACCTACTGGGGTTGATGCTGTAGGTTTTGTACTTTTGCAACATCTACTTCACCATGGTGAAGGTCAGTTTCTTACGTCCAAGATACGCTGGTTGGAGCAAGGCGATGCTGATTTAAGATCTGTTTCATGTCATAAGTCCTACGATGCTAGCAAAGCTGGAGTCCAGCTCATCTACTATACACCAGGCCTTGGAGGTATGTCTGGCACCCAGGCTTGCCAACGAAGACGCAGCGTCGACAAAGCCATTAGGGCCGGCGATTCCAGTAACTGACGTGCCAAGAATAGCCGGCGTGCTGCTGGCCAGCTTGCTTTGCAACAGATGGCCGTGCAACACCTTCGCCCCGCTCATGCTGGGGTCCGTCGTCGAGGCCGTCGGCGTCGGCGTTCTCGCCTGGGCTCTGTACGACGAGAACATAGCGACTATCTACGGAATGATGGCCCTCACGGGCGCTGGCACCGGTCTGAGGTTCCTTCCAGGTAAGCCACTACTTTTCTCTTTTCTTCTCTTGCATGTATCTGCTCCGAACTCACCTGAAAGCTACGGCCGCAAAACCAAAAAAAAAAACAAAAAAAAACACCATATCACTGACCACTTGTTGCTTCCTCTTTGCAGTCCAGCTCCACGCAGTCGGCTTCTTCCCCCGGCACATCGCGACCATCATCTCGCTCATGGGTGTCATGCTCCCCTTCGGCGGCACCTTGGGCCTCACCGTCATGACGGCCGTCTTCAACAACAACCTGCTGGGCCGGGGCGACGACGGCACCAACGCCCACAACTTTGACGAGCTGTCCAGGCTCCCCGAGGAGGTCCGGGCAGCCGCCATGGGCAAGATAAAGGTTTGTGGTTTCTCTTGGCCATAGTCGGAGACGGGGAAAAACAAAAAAGCTGACATTCATATTCTTCTAGATGGCCATCGTCTGGGCCTTTGTGGCAATCGTGCCGTTTATGGTCCTGGTAAGCAAACTTCCCGGTTGCCCGCCCGGGCTCGACGAATAGCAAGCCAGTACACAAGACTAACAAGGTGCCCCGCGCCACACAGTGCATGCTGGCGGCCTCCCTCCTGGGCAATGTGAAGATCACCAGGGACGCGCAGAACCAAGAGCCTTCCGATGAGGAGGGCGAGAGGGGCAAAGGCGTGGTCGAGGGTATCTATCTGCTACACCTCCTGAGGAGGAACCGCTCGGCAGTGACGTCTCCGGACGGGGCGGGTGAGGAGATGCAGCCCAAAACTCTTGACCCGGAGGCCCAAGCGAGGAGAGTCGAATAACAAAGGGGGGAGAGCACCAAGGGCCCATATTTCCAGATCCTCATGTCCGGTTGCATCGGGAGCACAGACGTGGTCGATTGTGCCTCGGAATCACAAGAGGGGGTGTATCCGGTGTTTCGGATTTTTTTTGTGGTCATTACATCGTCAAATTTGTGCTCTCTTCTTTACGCACCAAACCATTGAACAACCTTGAGCTCGAACTGAGAGCTGACAGAGCACGCTTCGCCCGGGTAAAATAACCTATCATGTCACGTTCCATCTTAGGGAAGGATAAGAATGAAAGCAAAGATGTGAAAAAAGAAGGGGGAAGGATGGAAAGAAGAGAAGAAAAGCAAGTCCTGTAAAAAATGAAAAACACCTTTATCCATCCTGTTGCGGGGCTGTACTCTGGCTAATGATACTCTCAAGGTCCTCGACGATTTCCGAGGCCGCCACGTACTGGTAGTCCCAACAGCGGCGTATGATATCCTCGGCCGGGTTGTCCAGGGATATGTCGGGCCACTCGCCAGCCAGCAACATGGCCTGCACCTCCTCATACGTGACCTCGTGCTCCGGGCCGTAGGGCACGGTCCACTCGGTGATCTCGCAGATGGCGGACCCGAGGGCGAAGAGCTCGCGGTGGATGATGCCCACGTCCTTGATGTCGCCCCTCTTGTCGAGGTGCGCCGAGGGGCCCGGAGGGGTGTAGCGGACCTCGGCGCCCCAGTAGTCCTTGTCGTAGTTTTCGAACAGCGCCGCGGTACCAAAGTCGCAGAGCTTGATCCGCCACGGGGCCGAAGGGGAGGACGCCGACTGCTGAGACGACGGAGGCGCCGTCGACGACGAGGACGAGGCCTGCGAGGCTGCGGCGTCGCTGCTCCGGCCGGCGGCCCCGCCCCTGGGGTTCGGGGTGGGACAGCTGAAAACAAGGGCGTTCCGGGTGGAGAGGTCGCCCCAGACGACGCCCCGGGAGTGGACGTGGGCGACGGCGCGGGCGAACTGCAGGCAGAGGTCGAGTCTTGCGCGCTCCGAGGGGGCGGGCCCGCGCAGGTAGCTGCGGAGGGCCTTGCCAGGGGCTCGCTCCAGCCTGATGGCCCAGGCCTTGGGCTCCGGGCCGGCGCCCCTGAGGACGGCGACCTCGAGGCCAAGGTAGTTTACGATCAGGTCGTGCCGGCCGACCTGCTCGTAGATCGCGGCCTCACGGCGGACGATCCAGTCGGCGATGTCAGGGGGGCGAAGGGGGCCCAGGGGCTCCTCGCCGCGGTACCAGACGGCCCATCCTTTCAGGACGGTGGCGGTCTCGTTGGCGCGGCCCTCACCGACGCCGTCGTCGGTGTCGACTGCGTAAACGACGCTATTTTGTGTGTGGGAGAGCAGCTGTATCCGGCCCCGCCACTTGTCGATTAATAGCACCATGATTGGGGGAGTGGGGAGGGCTGGGCGCGGTTGGTGGGCAGTGCCGCTTTTAGGGGGGGTAGAGGGTGGAGTTTTTGGGGGTGGTGGTGGTGTGTCCAGCTAAAGGAGCTGCCTGCCAACAACCAGAAATCCAGGCTTCAGGCCAGCACAGGCGTGTCCAGGCGGCTGAGCGAGCGCAGCTGGAAACTGGGGGAGGAAGGAAGATGTCGTCCTGTCGGAGAGATGGTGGTCTGCAAGGGAGAAAAAGAGAGAGTGGTTGCGAGGTTGGCGCGTCACGATCACGTGACTGGGGCCTGTTGGCAAACGGCCGCCATGTGCCCAATCAGAAGGCCATAGTCACCCGACCTCCCCCTCTTGGAACGTTCCAAAATGGAGTCGTCGAGGGAGGGAGAAGGAAAGGGGAGAAAAAGCAAGATTGCAGTGGCGTGGCAAGAAGTGGCGGCCTTGGCTGGCAATAGACCGAACGAGGGAAGACTGAAAGTAGAAAGGGAGGCTGGAGGCTGTCAAGGCAAAAAGAAAAAGCAGAAAAAAAAGAAACACAAAAATAGAGTAACAAAAAAATCACGGCTAGGGTATTCCGCCCAGGCCCACAGCATGGATGAGGGGGGGACAGGCCAGGAGCGATGTGACGGGATGTGTGATGGGCAGAATGGAACGAGAACAGTCGGACAGGTACCTGGCTAGACTGGAAAGAGGGCTAGCATAGGAAAGGCCACGGGCGGTGCTGCTATTTGATCCTCGTCGGACGGACGCAGCCGAGGCGGTCCGTCCAACGAGGGGCGCAGGCTTGCGGCGGACAAAATGAAAAATAGCACACAAGACAAGTCACAGCCTGAGAGCCGAGCTCGGCTACAACGGCCTCCTACCAGTGGAGGGCAGTGGAGGGGGGTGCCAAGCCAGATGGGAGGGCAGAAGCGGGAAATGGATGACGAGCATCCACGTTCCAGGGCCAATGGGGTCGCGGCCAGGACATGGCTGGTGATAACAGGTGTGTTTTTTTTCTTCTTTTTTTCTCTTCTTTCCTTTCTGTGCTTTTTGTTTACGCTCGCGGTTCGAGTCCTTGCTTTCAAGCACTTACCTCGCTGTTAAGGTTGCTTGGCAAGGTTGCTTGGGATGGAAGAAGACAGCAAGGCAAAAGCTGTCTGTCTCCTGAGGCCACTTTGGATGTGGAGGCGACAATGCGGGTGAGCAGGGCAAGGACCAGGCTGGTTCGGCCAGCTGGGCTCTGGAGGGGGCCGAGGCGACACGTATTGACTACCACCAGGTACTGCTGAGCTGATGCATCGTCGCACCGCTGCCTGTGCTTCGGTTTGTTTTGTTTCTCCGCCGCTGGTCTTTGTTTTGGATTCTCGAGGCAGGAGCAGCTCGCCGATTGTTCGCGCCCTCGCCCGCTGCCCCTTACCCCGCAGTTCCTTCCCTCGCACATTTGGTGAGGACCACCAATTATCCGTGCACCTCCACAGGCTTGCGCCACAACACAACCAAAACAAGATAATACCACGCTGTCCGCGGCACATTACGCCCCAGATACAACAATGGATGCCGCATGGCGCCGACCACCAAACCGGGTCCCTTGCCAGCCTGTCGTCTACGGGCTGGAATTCCGCATCTTCAGCGACGGCCTGGAGCACGCCGCCTCCGATACCGGCACCGCCACGGCTACCACGGCCAGCCAAGACACGACCACCACCGCCACGGCCACCGCCACGACGTCGGCCGCCGACCCTGGTCCTGGTCGCTGCCCCCCCGACAGCCCTCCTCACTCCCGCCACGGCCCCACCACGGCACTACGCGCGGCCCCGCCGCAACCAACCCCAACTGTAGACGCCGCCGCCGCCGCCGCCAACGACTTCCCGCGCTTCCTCGACCTCCCGCCCGAGCTCCGCCTCCGCGTCTGGGAGGAGCTGATCCAGCCACGCATCGTCATGGTCGCCTGCTGCCCGACCTCGCCGGCCTCGCACCCGGACCGCACCGCCAAGCTCGCCCAGCTGCGTGCCCGCCAGCACCAGCACCGCTCCAACTGCTGCTGCCTGCCCCCAGCAGCAGCAGCAGCAGCAGCAGCAGCGACGACAAGAACAACAACGAAATGCCCGTCCCGCCGCCGCCCCGCCGCCGCCGTCCCAGTCCTGCTCCACGCCTGCCGCGAGTCGCGCGCCCTGGCCCTGCGCCACTACGAGCCCGCCTTTGCGTGGCGCGCCCCGCTGCCGACGGTGCCGGCCGCCCCCGGCGACTACGACGGCGATTCCCGCCCCGCGGCGCCCGCCAGGATCTACTTCAACTTCGCGCTCGACGCCCTGTACCTCATGGGCCAGCTGGACCGCGAGGACGCCTTCGGCTTCGTCGGCTCGCCCCTGGCCTACTACCTCGACCGCCGCGACGCCGCCCGCGTCCGCCACGTCGCCGTCGCTCTCGAGGAGCTGATGCCGCCGCGGCGCGAGCCCTCGACGCCGCCTACCGATGATGGCGGTAGTGGTGGTGGCGACGGCACGGGGGGCGAGGAGCGCGTCTTCTCGAGCCTGTTCCACGTCGTCGATCGCTTCTCCGCCGCCGAGCGCCTCGTGGTCGCGTGCACGGCCCGGGACGTCGAGGAGAGCAAGGAGCGGCAGGGCGGCGGCGGCGGCGGCTCGTCGTGGTCGCCGCCGCTGTTGGCGCCGCTTCCGGGAGAGGATAATGTGATACAAAAGATATGGCGTGGCTGGCTCGGCGGCACATCGGTCGTCTCGTCGACACTGCTAGACAAGAAGATACTCATGGTCCGGGAGGAGGAGTTACAGGACTTCATCCGGGCACATCTCTAATATTTTCCGCTTTTGATGATAATCTATAACGTCACCATTTTGCTGCATAATACAATAATTTCTATATTGTACATAGGATACTCGACCCGCCTGTCGCACATCCAGAGGAAGGAGAGGGGAAGTGTGCCCATGGCGGTCGCATGGGTCCCAACCAATATACAATCCCTATGAAATACGGTATCCAACAGGGCAGTTTCTTCTTTCCGTCGTTGTTGTCATACAGTCGTTTCTTTTACTTGCAAAGTCTATCGCATAGGCATGGACTAGTGCATGTGAGGCCCCGCCGGAGATTAAGGTTAGTATGGTGAGGTTCCAGGGGATAATGCAATCTTATCCGTGATCGAACCGTCCGCGGGAATCGTGTAGCCCTCGCCGCAAGCGATCTGAAGAAAGAAAGGGCGAAACCGGCAGAACCAATATGCAGCTCGCAGGGGGTGTATCATGCACCGTTACCTCTCACCCTTGGGCGGGGAAACGCGGTGGAAGGCCGGACATGGGCCCTCCTGCGAGCCCCTGCCGCCGTTCCTGATGCCGCCCAGCAGCCAGTCCGTCAGGCCGACGACCTTTGCGCCGACGCCGCGCTCCCAGTTGCCGCCCTCCTCGACGTGCTCGATGGTGTGGCTCAAGATCCTGCCCTCCTTATCGAAGTCGAAGATGAACAGGCCGACGAACTCCTTGCCCTCGTGCTTGAACAAGGACAGAGGGTTCAGACTGCTGCTGCTGCTGCTACCCCCACCGGCAGCACCGGCCGCGCCGCCGCCGTCGCCACCCCTCTCGGTACGCCAGCGGACAATGAGCTGCTCGCCGACGGCTCCCTGCCTACGGGGGCCGGAGCGGCCGGCGACGCATTCGTCCTTGACCATACGCTCCGACAGGATCTCGAGGCGGACGTTGCCGACGATGGGCACGCGGTTCCAGGCGATGGGGCTGGTCCACAGCGCCGCCATGTAGGCGACGCGGCCCGAGACGGCGGGCAGGTGCTGGTGCGTTGACGGGAAGAGGTGCAGCGAGATGTTGGGCGCCAGGATCTCCTGCGGCGGCGGCGACTGGAGGAGGGTCGGGAGGTGCTTTTGGAGTATGCGTAGGGCTGTTGGTTTGGTTTTCGGCTTTAGATTAGCAAGAAAAGATGGCCGACAGAGGGGATTCGCCGGGGTTGCCTTGGAGCAGAGGGCAGATCTCACTCTTCCCAAGCTTCAGCTTCCGCTCGCCCGACTCCGGTCGCTTTCCGAACCCGCCATCTGGCGGAGCGACGTCGGCGAGGGGGAACGTGGAGCTGAACCACACTTCTGGCAGATTGCGGGGGTTGGCGGCCTGGAGCGTCGTGAGCGTGGCTCTAGTGCGCGACCCCGGCGGCGTGGCCGGTGTTGCCGGGGGTGTCTGCGTTGCTGTTGCGGCGGCGCGGCTCGGGGTCTTTGGGGACGAGGCGGCGGCGATGGCGGAGCCCAGGCTTCGGCACAGAGTCGGGAGGGCTGCGGCCTGTGGTCGCGAGCGCCGCACGAGCCGGGTTGGGACCGACATGTCGCTGGCCGGGGTTCACCGTTCGTTGTTCAGGCCTCTGTGGTTTCAGGTGCGTGATTCCATTTTTCGCTCCCGGCTCTGAATTCCAGGGTGGTATTGTCGTCGGCCGCTGCAGCTCCCATGCAAGCCCAAGGTCTGGGGAAGTTTTTTGGCTGGTGTGGGCAGCGGAGGGGAAGGCAATCAGGCCAAGCTCCAAGCTTTGCTCAGCCCGAAATTGACGCACGAGCATTTTCCGGCTCTTCCAGCTGGGTTCGAGTTGCCGCTAGCCCGTGGCTCCGACCCCGCTGCCACTGGAGACTCCCGGTCGTTGCGTGGGGATTCCTCTAGGCTCTTTTCCCTTTCCGCATGGTCCCGCCCAGTCGCCATTGAAAAGTCTGCACCTCGCATGGACAACGACAACTGGAATCCGCGCCATGTATCCAAACAGACCTAGGCTGGGAACTAGGCTGGGGGTTGCCTTTTCTACCTGACTCCCACTGTGTCTAAGCAACGATTGCTCATCACACGTGGAGACCTAAACGTAGACGCCATGAGCGGCTGTCGTTTCCTCCGGGGGCAAAGGCCCGCCATAAGGCCCACCATTGGGTGACTGGCTGCGCGTGGCACTCGTTCCAGGGATTGGCCCTCCCCTCCTGACGCTTGCTGTCTTGAGACAACAGGCCAAAGGTCACTCTCGCCCTTGCCTCGGGGCGATCGTCACATGGCTGCTATCACTAGGAGATTAGGAGCGAGAGATCAACTGCGGGTTTGCTTGAATGACCCTGTTTTGGATGCTTATGAGCAGTGGAAAAGAAAAGAGGATTGGAGGCGGATGAACGCATGTTGGCTTCTCCAAGACCAAGTTCTTTGACATTATCCCCTATATTGAGCACCTATTGGATACTTCAAACGTTTCCGTCTTTCCAGAGCCAGCAGGAACCTGCAGAGTAGCAATGTGGAATCGTCAAAGAACCGAAGTCACTGCAGGCTGGCCCATTTCGTCATCGCCTCTTATCAGCGGACGGGGTGTCTCCACTCGGCGCCTCCCCGCTGGTCCCCTGACCGTCCGCAGAGTGACTCGCCAGGCCCAAGCAACAGCCAAGCCCATTGTCACCTGCCAGGTCACATGACCTAGCCCCTTCCCAGCGCATCTCGTTTGTTCTCCGACCGACTGGGCTGCCCGTGACTGGCACCGACACTAGCTCCCAGACATTCCCGCTGCAGCCTGCCCCTACCAGAAACGAGTACCACCCTGACGGCCAACTCCATTAATCGACCGTCGCCCAGTCTCTACTTCTGCTCCCGCATCATCACTTGATAGGCCTCCCCATCAAACACCCACCAAAACAACGCTCTCCCTCTTCACCCATCGTCGCCCTCTCCGACGCTTGCTACCTCGTACTCTACCGTCGACCACAGCCAACACCGCAATCATGAACCCCGAGTAGTACGTTTCCGCTCCGACTGCCCTCCCTGCTGGGCCGCCTTCTCTGAAGGTCCCCACATGCTGCTGCTGTTGCCGCCGCCGCCGCCGCCTCTGTTTATCCCTCGCCGCCTTGCTGACCGCCACGCGCAGAGTGCCCAAGCCGTCCCCGATGCCGTCGTGACGGCTCCGTCTCCCGTCTGGCCGCGGATCCCCGCCACCGTCACCGTTGTCGGCTCCCTCGGCCCGCCCTCGCCCATCCTCTCCCGCTAACATTCCCTCCTGCGCGCGCGCCCAGGTACGACTACCTCTTCAAGCTCCTCCTGATTGGAGACTCCGGTGTCGGCAAGTCCTGCCTACTGCTCCGGTTCGCCGACGACACGTACACCGAATCGTACATCTCAACCATCGGCGTCGACTTTGTATGCTTTCCACGACTCCCTCATCTCCTACGGCTCGGTAATGCGATTCTAACCTGGTGACGCAGAAAATCCGGACTATCGAGCTGGATGGCAAGACCGTCAAACTGCAGATCGTGAGATAGATCCCCCTCCGCTCCATATGCCGCTGGCGTCTTGGCAGTCATAAAGGAGCAAGTTAGGACTGACGCTTTCTCTATCGCACACCATAGTGGGATACGGCAGGCCAAGAGCGCTTCCGCACCATCACCTCCTCGTACTACCGTGGTGCCCACGGCATCTGTGTCGTCTACGATGTCACAGACATGGACTCCTTCAACAACGTGAAGCAGTGGCTTCAGGAGATTGACAGGTACGCCACCGAGGGTGTTAACAAGCTCCTCGTTGGCAACAAGAGCGATATGGCGGACAAGAAGGTGGTCGAGTACACCGTGGCCAAGGTACGCCCCTCTCTCTTGTGCAAGGTTGACAGTAACCAAGTAAGCAACCTGTTGACACCCCCTACAGGAGTTCGCCGACAGCCTTGGCATCCCGTTCCTGGAGACGTCGGCCAAGAACGCGAGCAACGTCGAGCAGGCATTCTTGACCATGGCCCGCCAGATCAAGGAGAGGATGGGCACGACAACGACGAACAACTTGAAGCCGACTGTACAGGTCGGCCCCGGCCACGGCGTCTCGGCGACGCAGAGCAACAGCTGCTGCTAAACGACGGGACGCATCAGACCACGTCTGCTTTCTGCACAACAATCGCCGGGTGCCTGACCTGCACCCAGCAGAGCCTGGCGCCCCGAGATGTCTGCCACCGTGATGCGTCCGCCATCTGGCCGTTTGGACTGTTCTCCGGAACCTGCCGAATATTACGAACGGTGTGATGGGAGACTTTGATGGCCTGTGATGATGACTTGGCCAAGGGCAAGCCAAACGACTGGCAGTAGGGAGACTGGGTTAGGATCAACGGGTTTCTTTGGCTGTTTTCGCTCTCGTGTTGTTTCTGTTCTCTTACCATTTTCACGTTCACGCATAGATGAAGGTTTGCACGTCCTTTGGATCTCTCTTGTCTGTTCCCTAGCCCCTTTCTCACGGTTCGCTCGCTCTGCACATCTTTCCGTCTCGCAACATTCAGCTCGCGCCCCCTTCTTTATCTTCACTGGCTCTGCTAAGGGGGCAAGGGAGTGAGGGGACTGCATAGGCCTCGTATCGTGTCTCGTGCCAACGACATGTTCGGGCCGCTTTTAATGGAGACTGCCTGGGGAAAGACGAGCGCTCGCGAGCAAGGCGGGGCGCCTTGTCATTTATGTTCATTCTATCACTTGGCGAGTCACAGAATCACATAATTTTGGGCCTTCGGAAGTCATCAGCATATGCAGGCAGTCTGCGTGGCGAGTGCAAAACGTGCACAATCTTTCTGTTTGTTACCCACTCGCTCGATGGGGGCTATCCCATTGGCACCTGCGTAGGTACGCTCCCCCCGTTCATTATAATCCGCGACGAACATGGACGGGGAAATTACCCTGCAGTTTTTTTGCTGGCTCCTTCTGGATCCGGCTCTTATCTCCAATATCGTGAAGTAGCCTTGCGCCGTCAGGGAGGGACAGTGGACAATGACGGAAGGTGAGAGCTATTTACACGCAAAAGTGAGACTCGAGCACGAAAGGATTCTAGATCTCGTGAGTCTCTCAGGTATTCTTGGTGTGTGAATTCCCTCTGATTTTGTTGCAGTCTTCTTCTTTTTTTTTTTTCTTTTTTTTCTTTTTTCTTCTTTTTTATTTATTTTAGAAGCATGTGCCCCTGCGACTATTATCAACCTCCTTACCTTTGAAGGTCTACCTCAACCCGGGACAGTTGAATAGGTACCAGTTTCGGTATTGCCGAGGTCGTGAGGATGTAGATATGGGCGAGCGTACGACAGCAGGCACAAGGACGGCAAGACAAACGTGAGCGCGAAAAGGACCAAGAATCCCCTGCTGTGCTGTCCTAGTAGGTCAAGGAAAGGTTGGCGGCAAACACTCGTTGGACGGAGCCCAGCCCTGCCCCCAAGTCTTGGTAGATCTGACGGGGTTCGAGCCCGTGGGACTTGGGAGGTTCAGCGCCCTCGCCGGTACGAGACGTCTCTGGCCCGCTCAAATTCCTGTGTCGCTGACGCGAGTCGTCCGAGACCTGCCATGTGGGATGCAATGAGAGACGTGAACACTGCCTATGGGGAGAGAGCATCACGGCGGCCACGAGCAACAGAAACACCCGCATATATGCGCGGCACATAAGCAAGATGCTTGGTGTGGTAGGCCGCTTGAGCTACTGTTATGTCGACAGACATGGACTTAGGCTGCATTTTCACAAAATGCCATTGTATTTTATTCTCCCCGGATATGGGCCAAGTGAAGTCGAAACTATTACCAACGGAAGAGCATGTAAGCGACAAAGAAAAGCAGTACATGATGGTATAATATATCAGAAACAGTCAGCAACAGAAGTAGAAAACTGAGCTAGAACGACTCAAAGATATACCCACCAAGACCATCGGCAAGTGACGGTGTTCCTGGTGTTCTGCGTGAACATCTAAAAAGACGGCGACTTTATTTTATATATATATATATATATATATTTTTTTTAAAAAAAAACCCTGAGATAAGGAACAGCCAAATTAATCTAGAGCAAAAGAAACACCAAAATGTTTAAAGTGGAGACAAGAAAGAAAATATCAAACACCACGCCCACAGCAGCCCGCGCTATGCAAGCCCGAGCCACTTGAGCGCCTTGTGGCTGTTTCCCTTGCGGGGGGGCCTCCCGCGCTGCCCAAAAAGCGGCATAAGCCGCGTCTCCTCCGGGTCGTAGTCGCTGTCGGCCGAGGGGTCGTAGTCGAACAGGGACGTCTCGGTCGTGGCCGAGGTGCCGGGCCGCGACGGCATGACGTGGGCCAGGGCGCCCCTGAGCCGGCGCTTTGCCGGTCCAGTGATGCTCCGGATGGTCCTGGTGGTGCGCGTCGAGCCGAGCGAGACGCGGGAGCGGGTCGAGGGGGCGGGGGAGGTGGACCTCGCGTGGTGGCCGCCACCGCCGCCGTTGGTGCGGCCGCCGCTGCGGGACGCGGTCGGCGCCACGTCCGGCAAGGGCGGCGGCGACGGCAGGCCGCTTGGGCCGCCCAGGTGGCCGAGCGGGGACGAGCCGATGTTGTACGCGGGGGCACCGCCACCGGTAGTCCAGGTGCTGTTGATGCGCGGCGGAGACGAGAGTTGCTCTGGGATGTACAGCGGCGACGTGTCAATGAGGGCCTTCCAGATGGCGGTGATGAAGGTGGCGATCTCGGCGTCGGTGGCGCCTGCGACCAGCGAGAAGTTTGCCTGCGAGAACTTGAGCCGCTCGGCCACGCTCGCGGGCGACTGCGTCGCTTTAAGGGATGCCGTCCTCGAGTGGCTCAGCTTGGAGTTGGTCAGGGATACAGGGGGGTGGTTTTGATGGTGCGCCGTGGTGGCAGGTGAGGAGGGCTCCGTCGGCGACTTGCCGTCGGTCAGGCTGGTCACAACACCCGCGACCTTGACCACGTCGGGCCCCGCAAGCCTCTGCAGCGCGAGCACAGTGGCCAGGTGCTCGGCGGGATATTCGATAAGGACGAAGTGGACGTCGGTGTGGGCAGCCAGGTACATCTCCAGCTGTGGGATGAGCAGCGTCGCGATGTGGATGGGGTTCGCAAACACGTTGCTGTTTGGATGCGCTACAAGGAACGTCTGCATCGCGTTGGCAATGAGGTATCTGGAGCAGAGGAGGAGGGCACCGCATTAGCATACCTGAAGGATCTGAAGGCTTGGTGCACGCCTATATATAAAAAATAGCAAATCTCAAAAACAAGTGCATCTCATACCTCAGATCAATACGTCCTGTCCTTGTGGCGCAACCCTTGACTGTCTTGTTGCCGATGTTCTCGACCTGAGTCGTCACCGCGGCCAAGAAGGGTCTTGATACATCGTTTTGAGCCCCGAGGGCGACAATGAGGTTGAGCTTCCGCTTGTGTAGCTGAGTGCCACTGTTCTCGGCGGCGCCAAAGACTGGCCGCCACAGCTCCTCGCTCTCGGGGAGGAAGGGGAAGCGGCTCAGGCTGTAGCCCCGCTCGTTGGAAGGAAAGTAGGTATCCAGCACAGAGCGGAGCGCATCCTGCACATCGACGGCAGCCTTCATACCCGTGATGGGCAGCTCGCGAAACTTGGGCTTGACGTCAGCGCTTGAAGGAGGCGGCGTTTGCGCAGGGGTCGGCGGGCCCAGGGCTCCCACGTGCATGGTGCCGAACATGTCACTCGGCGGACCAAGCTGCAAGCTCTGCGGCCTGAATGGATCGTACTCGTTATCGCCTGCCTGCGGTACTGGTTGGGACAGCTGCTTAGAAGCAGTCATGCTCGCACTGGACGCTGGCGTGGTCGGCGTTTCTGGAAACTCTGTCGCCTCGGAGCCGCTATCGTCAGAGGCCGGCAGAACGGCCGCGGATGGCGTCGCATTGACACAGGCCTGGAACTTCCGCAACATGGCCTCCAACACCACATGCCGTGTGCCGTTGGTGAAGTGAATGACCAGATCTTCAAACAAAGGCAACACAGGCTCCGACGGGCCAAAACGAGAGAGATCGAGCGCGGGGACTCTCGGGACAGGCTCAGTATCTGCCTCTGTGCCAGCGCCTCGTGCCCTAGACCTTGCTCTTCGTTTCCTCAGCGAAGAGGAACGGGAGATGATCGTTTCGCTTGGTTTGCAAACAACCGAATTCCGCAGATCCACTGCCGAAGCTCTGGTCCTGACAGCGGCAGGTGCACGAGGGGCGTTGGCTGTGAGCCATGACGGGCGTCGGCCATCCTCGTTCGCCAGCCCATTTCTTCTCCTGTGGGGTCCAACCGAGGCGGTCCGTCTGAGCGATACTGGCCGTGGGACCGCTGGCCGCTCTAATGATCGAGCCCTTCTAGGGGGCTTTTGGAAGGCGAGGGGGGCCAGGTTGAGTATCGCCGCCTGCTCAATGACCGGGTTCGAGGGCGATCTGGAGCGTGGCCTGGAGGGCTTTGATTTCTCAGAACGCAACGGGGGCCCGTCGCTCTCTCTTTGTCGCATTTTGCCACGTCGAAAAGCAGGCATTGGCTCGGGGGATTCCGTCATGAACCTATGCGCGGGAGCCGGCTGGCTTTTACTCCGTATCCGTATCTTGAATTCGCATTAGAACCCAAGCACATACTTTGTTTCCAAGCGCCGCTCGCATCGTCCAGGCTCCTGCCAGCTCATCCCACACAACCATCCACCTACCTTGGATTCACGGGCAGCGTCACCCGAACTATCTGCACCTTCATTATGCTCAGCGGCCTCGGTCCGGTGGTGGGAGAGCGCCCGCACGCCATACTTGATGAGCTCCCCAAAAATAGCCTCGGCCTCTGCGTGGCTATCTAAGCGCTTTCGCTGGATGATGGTGGTGACGACAAAGGCGTGGGCGTTGGCAGCACCACCGTTGAGGAAAACGAGCTTCTTTCTTGTTGGACTCGAGTCCCTAAGGAAGTCCGTCGCCAACTTCCGCCTCGTCACCGAGGCCTCGTGAACGGCAAGGACAAAAGAGGGGGTATCGAAAGGTGTACCGGTGGGGTTCTCGGGCATGTAGTTCTGGACACTCGGGAGGACCAGTATCTGGGTCGAGATGGGGAGGAGACGCAGCTGGGTCGACACGATCTCGGGCGAGCCTTCGAATGCCACTATACCGCCATGGTAATCCATCATGATGCCGCGGGAAGGCCGTGGACTCGATGGCGGCTGGCCCGCAGAAGGAAACAGGATACGCGGGCAATAAACGCTGTATATGGCCCACGAGCACTCGAGTCTCGTGGCAGGATGGCCACGAGAGGTGGCAGTGATCACGACGGTCAGTACCAAAGGACCAAGACTCGGCTACTTGCGGTGGCGTTTCTGGAAAGAGGGACACGCGGCATGTGCGGAACCAAGACTCGCGAGGAGAAAATCACGACGGCAGACTAGGGCCTGGAGACGATCGATGTTGCGGATCGGTGTGGCGGGAAGCACGGAGGAGGACAAGGCGGATCAAAAGAAGCAACGAGCAACAAAAAATTGGAAGGGAAAAAGGAAAACCCCCTCGGGCGTGAAGCGGCTGTGGGGGGGACGGGCGAAGCCGCTCCACGAACGTAGCGCATGTGGGATGTTTGCCCGTCCCTGGCGTCTGGCTCGGCAGGGCCGCGGTAGCCCCTCCCTGGAACCTCGCTCGAGTTTGACAACAGCGTTCGGACTAGCGGGGCATGGAGCATGGAGGCAAGGCACCTGGTCCTGGGCACGAGGAGCCAGACCGACACTAGAAAGCAACAGAGACTAGAGAGAAAAGAGGAAATTTCACGTTCAGGCCCGTCCTTGGCCCCAGCAGTCGCCACCTCGGGACTCGAAGCGACGAGCCGGCGTGGTACCTCCGGGCTCAGACTAGAGCCGGGCTAGACCAGGGGCCGCGCCGGCGCCGAGAGAGACTAGTCGACAGAAAAGGAAAAGACAGAATAGACCTGATTGGGCGTGGCTGTAAATGCAGATGAGGGCTCGCAGTCAAGTGCCCCCGGCGCGTAAAGTGCTGGGCTGGCACGCCCGGATCAAAAAAAAAAAAACGGGACACTTTTTCAGTTGGTAGTAGTATGCACTAGGGCAAATATTGAAAAAGTGTCTCGTTTTTTTTTATTCGGGCGTGGCTGGGCCGGTAGTGGTGGCATGGTACCACTGGTATGCGCGCCGTCCTCCCTGGTCCCCTGTTGGTGATCCGAATATGGGCGTCCGGAAATTTTCAGCAGGTGGGCATGGCTGGCTCGATGGGACTACCACCACGTTTTCGGGCGAGGCCGAAATGGAGGCTGCCAACTTGTTGTTTGGGCCGTCGACTCCGATTACGAAGACGAAGTGACGCAGGAAGTGCGGAGTAGGGAAGAAGTAATCGACCCGCTAGCTGCATCTTCGGCTTTCTCCTTTGCAGCAGACCTATCGGGTATGGATCTGAGAGCTTGGCAGGGCAGCGTGGCATGCGCGGCTGGAGAGTTGCTTGTGCTCTCTCCAAGTTCTGAGAATTGTTGGCCGTGGTCGTGGTCGAATTCCATCACTGGTGATGGCAGAGTTCAGGCCAGCAGGGGGGTCCGCGTCCGCCAACTAAGGTTTGCCAGCGGACAGGGCAGGCCAGCAGACGGCCCGTCTCCACTTGCCCCATCCGATCCAATCCCCTGTGCAAGTGTCCGAAAGACAGGCCAATTCAGCTCCCACGGCGATCAACATACCAGCGGCTGCTATCCCAACCCCAAGGCAGGACACTTGAAACAAATTGCCTTTTCAGCTCATTAATACTGGTCGATATTACTCCCAACAACAACCAGCATCCCAGGGGCAGATCCAATACCAGGCATGCGCGTTAAAGCTTCCTGAGCCGAGCCCGGACGTCCCCAGTCTCTGGCTAGGTTTCAGCGCTTGACCAGCGGCCGCTCCTCGACGCAACCACCTAGACGGACGGCCGTTTCTCTCGGCCAGGCCGTCACATAGTGTCCTCGTGCCTCCAGAAGGATCCATGTTTTCGATCCCTTCCATCACAGCGTTGGGCGATGGCATCATGGGCAGCCAAACAGTCAAGGTCAATGCGTCCAACACTGAGGCCCAGACGAATCCTCCAGTCTGGGCAAACATTCAAAAGGACGTGCGCAGTCGGCCGATCAGCGTCCCCATCTCTTCATCTCCCTTCCCCCGGCCTCGCTTCTGCTAGCGCAAGTTCCTTGCAGCCAGGCGATACCATAGAATTTATCTTTGCTTTTTTCTTCTGCTATTCCATGTTGGCCGTAACTGATAACGCCCAGGATGGATGCATCACCAGTGCATAAGTACATATATCTGCATAGGTAGGCATCTAGTACCTACCTCTAGGTATGTATAGTACATTGTGCGAGGGTCAGCTCCAACCATTCCCCCCTTCCTGAATCGCATCCATCTCGATCAATCCCCAACCAATAACTGTGCACCTCTGGGCGACCGCCGCCAGGATCAAGGATCATCAGTGTGATATCGAGAAACATGGCCATCACTCGCACTACGTATAAGCCCGGGGAAGAGGCTCCACCTTGCCTACAGCCTCAATCCCACTCCCATCGCAGCTTTACTGTGCAACCCTCTTTCTCCCCGCCAAGGGCCTTAACCACTGGGGAGGAAGGGAGCGAACCCGGTCGGGTTCCCGTCTCCCGGATAAGCCCTAATATCAAGGGCGGGCAGGCCTAGAGGCATGTCCACTTGTATGACAGGTACACGATCAAGCGATACGGAGTGATGCTCCCAGCCCTGGCCAATCATATCTACATACCCTTGCGCGGCTGCCCATTTCCTCACAGCATGTCTCTGCCGTTGCCTGCATGCGTTGTTTGCAATCTCCTGCCACCGCGGTTCCCGCGGCTGCGCCCCAGCCGAACTGAAGGCGTCCTGTTTTGCCTTTCGGATGGCTGCTTCGGCCGCCTCCTGTCATTTCGCGACGGAATTGGCGATTGGCCGTTCTGACAAGAACCCGTTGCCCAAGGAACATGAGCAAAACGAGCAGCCGGCCTATCGCTGCAGACGTGACGTTGGTCCCGAATGCATGAACACGGCCGGACGTGACACCAAACGCATCTCGTCCACAGCGGCTGCTGTTGGTCATCCCATCCTATGTGCAGCCAGCGAGCAAGAGAACTCCAAGCTGACGCCGCCAGGAACAGGGCCCAGCCTAGCGCGCGGCTGACTGCAGCTCCGGGAAATTATTCCTGCCGCCTGACCAGCCTGTGCTGGGTGCAATATATTCAAAGAAAACCATCCTGCCTCTTTCTCCCGCGGCCTAACTGCCGTAAAAATACAACTACGGCTAGAATAGTGCTTGTGGGATGAAACCTGCTGAGCGGCAGGAAGACGTGGTATCCTTCAGGATGCTGAGTAGCTGCAACGCCGCGGAGGAAAAGAGAAACAAGATGTTGAATAATTCAACTTAATTGGTATGGTGTCTTTCATAGCGACGAATCGGAGCCGCATTTGCCTGCAGATTTGCCGCAATACGAGAAACAGTCATGCAGCTATGCGCTTTGGTCCCGTTGCCGAGCTTCGATCGGAGACAACAAACTTTCTGACAAACATAGTTCCAAACTACCTACTCTAGAGGACGCTAGCCGGCGGGTACCACGCCCGCCTTACGGCAACTCCGAAGAAGAGTGACCACTCGCGATGGAAGAGCAAAGGCGGTGTCACGCACGTGGCTAGATAAGAAGCTTGTCCCTGTATTAGACCCTGGGGTATGTAAAGCATGTAGCTTCCGAGCGCCACAAGAAGGACCAGTCTAGTCTAATGGATTATCACCAATCGTGTGTGAACGCAGGTAGGGCCAAGACGGATATACGCATATCATGATGCGCAAACAAGCACATGGGAGTCTTGGCATACAGCATCCATGGCCAAGAGAGGGTGTTGATTCGCTGAAGTGCTCACCCTCTGGATTCATGTTTCGTTGCTAGGAACCTAGGCGGCCCAATCCTCAGTCGTCATCCATCAAGGCCGCGAGCTCGGCCTCCTCCTCAATCGACAGCAACCCCTCCTGGGGTGCGGCGGCGGCCTCTGGCTCCTTGACCTTCCCCTCAGCGGCCTCGCGCTGCTCCGTGATGAGCGCGTCCAGCTGCGCCCTCTGGAGGGGCCAGGTCCTGACGGTGCCGTCGATGCCGACGCTGCAGAGGCGGCTGTCGGCGAGGGCCAGCAGATCCGTGACCTCGTCGTAGTGGCCCTCGAGGGCGCAGTGCAGCTCGCCCGAGGCGCGGTCCCAGTACTTTAGGTCCTCGTCGCGGCCGGCCGTGACGACCCAGCTACCGACGACGGCGAGCGCCCTGACGTGGTCGCCATGATTAAACGAGTCGACGACGGCGAGGCCGCGCTGCTGCGGCGACAGGCACTTGGCCGTGCCGTCGCCGCTGGCGGTCCACAAGTCGAGCGACTCCCCGTCGTCGGCGCCGGGCGCAAAGGAGAGCCGGTACACGCCCGTCTCGTGCTCTAGCAACGTCCGGCGCTCCGTGACCGCGTCGGAGGAGCCGGCGGGCGCGGCCGGGTCCGGCACCTCGTCCACAACCTGCTCCCATGAGGCCTCGCGCACGCGCCAGCGGCGGACGTGCGGGTCGCTCGAGGCGCTGGCGAGGTGGACCTCGTCGGGCGTGGTGCGCGCCGGGTCGACAGCCAGGTGCTGCACCGCGAGCATCTTGGTCACGCGGTCCTGCAGCACGTGCAGCTCCTTGCCCGTGGCGACGTCCCAGACGATGATGCGCTTGTCGGCGCCGCCGCTGATGAGAATGTCCCTGCTGCCGCTGCCAGAGGAAAGTTTGACGCAGACGACCGTCTTGACAAAATCGGTGTGGCCCGTGTACCTGCGCCCCTGCTGGCCCGTGGCGAGGTCCCAGGACCAGATGCTCTTGTCCCACGAGCCGGCGAAGAGTGTGCTGCCGCCTGCCCCGCCTACGGCGACGCACGTCACGGGGGCGGACGGGCCCCGGTACACTGTTTTTGTGTCAGGTTCGTCCTGGGTTGCGCTTTGAGTATTAGGTTCTAGAGCCGCCAAGTATGCCGTTTAGAAATACGGGGTTGAGTACATACGCCCAGTTTGACATGCCTCACCGAGCCGGCCGACTCGGCAACAAATATGGCTGGTGGAGAGGACGAGCGCGGATCTGCGATAGCGGCCAATATCTTGGACTTGAGAGCTACAGGGTTGCCATATTTATTGCTAGACTTTGCATCCCGTCTCTCCCTCGTTGCCTGCTGGGCACTGTAAGCGAGAAACTTTGGTCAGAAACAGCACCTTTTCGACTTTGATGCAGCCTAGCCCATGTTGCCCCTTGGCGCAAACGTCATGAGGGAGAAGGGTTCCTTGAGTGATGCAAGGGACTTGCTCTGATTCAAAGAAATTCCTGGGGTCGGAAGACTTGGACATCTTGTCACCGGCAGAGCGCTGCAAGTATGCAGCGCAGTGAAAGATTCTCCAGAGCTTTTGTCATTACCAATTCGAGTCTGAGAAAGGAGTCTCGAAATGGGTGCTGCCTGGCCAAGAACCCCTCGATGTCGTAAGTGTGGGGCGCTGGCTCCAGACGGGGCCTTCTGCGAGAGGTGGTTGGCTAATGGCCAGGAAACCACTCAACGCGTAAAAAGCTCCAGACGCGTCGTGGGCTTTAGACCATCGTCTTTGACCGTCGTCTTGAGGTCGCCGACAACGCCGCCAACGAGATTGGATTCCTCATAGGCGGGCCGACCGACGAGACTCTCCCACGCAACAATGCCGCCCTCCCGCTTCTCCCCGCGCCAGGGGCACACCGAGGGAATCACGCGCTGCGCCTACTCGCCCGACGGCAGGCAGCTCGTCACCGTCGGCTCCAACAACACCATCCGCTGCTACCAGACCGGCTCCGACGGCGAGCCCAAGAATATTGACGAGTGCCCGGAGCAGAATGTGGCCGTCGCCGCCGCCGCCGGCTTCTTCGTCGTCGGCTCCGAGGACGGCACCGTCAGCCGCTACTCGCTCGAGACGCACGCCTTCGAGTCGTACCTGCTGCGCACCCCGCTCCCCATCCGCGACCTGGCCCTGTCCCCTGACGGCAAGTGGTGCGCCGTCGCCAGCGACGAGCTCGTCGTCAAGATCGTCAGCGTCGCCGACACCTCGGTCGTGCGCCAGGCCCGCGAGCACAATCGCCAGACCAAGCACCTCGCCTTCGACCCCCGCGGCGCCCTGCTCGCCCTCGCCTGCACCGACGGCGTCGTCTACGTCTACTCGCTGACCTCGGACCAGCCCGAGCTGATCCGCAAGGTCGACGGCGTCATCGGCTCCCTCGACCTCGAGTCCGAGGCCTCGGCCCTGCCCGCATGGCACCCTGACGGCCGGGCCTTTGCCGTCGCCACCCCGACCCGCGACGTCCAGGTCGTGTCCAAGAACGACTGGGAGAAGCAGCGTGTGTTCGCCAACGGTCATGAGGGTGACATTACAGCCATCGCCTGGTCGCCCAACGGCGCCCTACTCGCGACCGCCGCCAAGGACGGCAAGCTCCTGGTGTGGCAGACCAAGGACCAGTCCATCGTCGCGAGGCACGAGGCCACCAAGGTCGTCGACATATCATGGCATCCTTCGAAAAACATACTCTCCTACACCACCTTCGCCGGCGAGGTCTTCATCTGCCCGGACTTCATGACCGCACAGTTCGCCCCGCTGCTGCAGCTGCCCATGCAGCCATCCCCCTTCTTCCATGACCCGCTGAGCGAGATATCGGCCAACGGGAGGCGTGCGCAATTAGACGGCGGTCGGAACGAGGTTTCGATACCACAGCGCCCAAGGCAAGGATCGCCCGACTCACTGGACTCGTTTGGGGGAGGCATACCTGGGGAGGACGACGACTTTGTCGTGGACGACGATGGTGCCGGGTACACGTTGAATAGCAATGGAAAACGGCCGCACGATGGCACTGGCTACGCAGAACATGTCAGCAAGCGGTCCAACATGGTCCGCTTCTCGTATCATGAAGCCTTCCAGCCCGGATCAACGCCCTGGCGCGGTAACCGGAAGTACCTGTGCCTCAACCTCATCGGGTTCGTGTGGACGGTCGACCAGGACTCGCACCACACGGTGACGGTCGAGTTCTACGACCACGAGTTCCACCGCGACTTCCACTTCACCGACACGTTCCTCTACGACAAGGCCTGCCTCAACGAAAAGGGCGCGCTCTTCTCGTGCCCGCCGCGCGAGGCGGCCGACGGCAGCAGCGACGAAGAGGGCAGGCCGGCCGTCGTCTTCTACCGGCCGCACGAGACGTGGACCCAGCGGACCGACTGGCGCACCCAGCTGCCCCCCGGCGAGGCGGTGCTGGCCATGTCGCTGAGCGACTCGTTCGTCACGGTGACGACGACGGCCGGCTACGTGCGCATCTATACCCTCTTCGGCGTCCCCTACCGCGTCTACCGCCCCAAGAGCTCGCCCATGGTGACGTGCGCCAGCTGGCGCGACTACGTCCTCACCGTCGGCAACGGGCCCGCCGGCCCGGACGGCTCCGCGCGCCTGCTATACTCCATCGAGGACGTCAAGAACGATGTCGTCTGCCAGAGCGAGGACACCGTCGCCCTGCCCGAAGGCGCCATGCTCAAGAGCGTGTTTTTCTCCGACGAAGGTGTAAGTGCCGGATTCTTGGCTCCAAGGATCATTTATGGACATGCCAACTGACTGACCCCAACCACCCACACACACAGGACCCTTGCATATACGACTCCACTGGAACCCTCCTGACACTCCTCCACTGGCGGCGGCCGAGCGGCGCCTCTTGGGTGCCACTCCTGGACACGCGGCTGATGGACCGGCTAGCGTCGGGTCGGAAGCAGGAGACGTATTTCCCTATAGCCGTGGCGGACAACAAGTTTCACTGCATCATCCTCAAAGGCGGCGACCAGTACCCCTACTTCCCCCGCCCGCTGCTCTCCGAGTTTGAGTTCTCGGTGCCCCTGACCTCGACCCCGGGCGGTGGTGGCAAGAAGAAGAAAAGACCAGAGGGCGAGGACCAGGACGTCCAAGAAGAGGAGGGTCAGGATGTCGAGGCCAGGCGGCTCGAGCAGCAGTTCATGCTCAAGACGATCCGGGCAGCGCAGCTCCTGGGCCGCGCCGAAGCATCATCATCGTCCTCTTCCTCCTCGGAGCCCAGGGACGGCAGGCGCGCGGCGGCGGCGGGCCTGGCGCGCGTCGAGGTGGAGCTGGACAAGGTGCTGCTGCAGCTGCTGGCGGCCGAGTGTCGCGAAGGGGAGGAGCGCGGGATGCGGGCGCTCGAGATCGTGGGCCTCATGCGCGACCGGTCCGGCCGCATGGTCGAGGCCGCCTGCAAGGTCGCGGGCCGCTACGGGCTCGCCATCCTGAGCGACAAGATCCGCGAGCTGGGCGAGGCGCGGGCGGCGGCGGCGGCGAGGGAGGACGAGAGTATGGATGAGGACGAGGAGTTTTGAGGGGCATTGTCGCGAGTGTGGTTTTTTTTCTTTTTTCTGTTTTGTACCTATCTAATGCTGAACGCTGACGACGTGACGGATACGAAGGGGTGTTTTTGCAAGCTCGCCCCCCTTGATGAATATTCCTAGACCATGTAATGAGCATATTCTGAAGTTCCGATCACTGATGTCTCAACCAACCGTTCCTATCATGCTGCTTTGTCTCGCTGGTTTTTCGCCCAACCCTCCATGCCTCCGTGCCTCCCTCTCTTGCCCTCTTGTTCTGCGCTTGTCTATGGACGGATCGCCGTCCGTCCCTGGCGTCGTTTCTGGAGGGCCTCCCGCGTCCGATTCAGCCCTTCGAGGACACCACCGCACCAATGTGTCTTGCGGTGAGCCGGGCTCCCCCTTGCTTCCATGTCCCCATCGTCGAAAGCCAGGGATCAGCGGATCCGGACAAGGAAAGACAGAGAAAAAGCAAGCCTCACCGTCTTGATTAGGTATCAACCACATTTCCATTTCCCCACAGTTCTCCCGCCATCAGACACCACACATTTCTTCCCCTTCCCCATTCCTCTTCGTCTTCCGAAAAAGGCCGGACCAGTGTTTTTATGGGGTGTTCAGCTTATTCTAGCCCAATATGGAATGGGCGGCGGATCTGTGAGAGGGCAACCCTGTAAAACTCCAACTCACTAATTTTCGGCTCGCACTGTTTCCTCCCGTTCGACTCTAACCGTTAGACTCAGTGTTGAAAACACAGATCGCACGGCCAAATAACCGGAAAAGGTAGGTTTGATACATGCCTAGCCCTTTGAATCCCTGCTGAACCCACCAAAAAACAGTGGTCCTATTTTCGAGAATAACGAGTTCTTGCGGTAGTGGTCGCAGCAACCCCCCTTGTTTCCGTTTGATCTGATGCCTCCCGATATGGACCAAAATGGCTCACCGGATGCCAGATCCGGCGACAGCCTAGATTGATGCCCTTCAAGTATTCTGCCCGTCCGTGGGCTCTCCCTCTCTCCGTTTCGATAGTTCGAGCGCCTAGCGGAAGATCAGAATGGAAACTCGCCGGGAAGAAGGCGTCCAATATTGTTCCATCAGCCAGAAACAAAACCTACACAGGGGAGGCGCGGGCTTCGCAGGAGACATCTATGCACGCGGTACGGTGATGTGAGCTTTGTGTGTACACCTGCCTGATCTCCGCGCTTTTCCCTGTTCTCTATTTACGTGGCATGCCACAGCAAGATGGGATGAGACGCAGTCCGTCCTGCTCTAATGCGAGATGTACATGAAAAATGGCGTGAAGACGAAAAAGGCACCGTCGGTCGGAGAACTTCCCGAGCCGCGCGCAGGTGGGATCGTCAAAACCCGGGTTGTTGAATGTTCTTTAGCTTCCAGCCGCGTTTCCACCAAACGTCGCGGGGGGGTTCTTTTTCTTTTTTCTCGTTTTTTTCTTGTTCTACCTTCTCTTTCTTCTCTCTTTTCCTCCCTCTTTTTTTCTCCTCCCGCACCCGCCATCCGCCTTGGCAGGCTGGCAAGGGGAAGATCGGCGACTTCAAGGGAAAAGAAGGTTGTGTGGGAACCCGGGCAGGTTGACAGGCAAAGAAAGAGAGCAGCGAATAGGGCCGGTCCCTGGGGTTGCATTCGAGATAGACCCCTCCCCTTTGCCGGGCTTTGAAGGGGGTGATTCCAATGGCATGGCGATCACACATGCAAGGGGGGTGGGTGTGTGAGTGGGCAGACACGGGGAATATTTCATGATGGCCAAGACGTCGTCCTGGTCTTTTGTTGCTTTCTTGCTTAGGCCGGTTGGTATGCCGCGCATGATCCAGAGAAGCATCCAAGCCCGAGGTCTAGCAAGGGTGAGTGGGAGTTGGTTCTCTCGCGTCCCTGAGTGAGAGGGTGAGAGCACATACACACACACACACATACGCACACACATACGCGCCCCCTTCGCGCGTTCCATTGTTGTTTCTTGTTCCTCCCGAGCGTCTGAGGCAGGGAGGCTGGCGGTCGTATTCGATTCTTGGCTCGGAAACACTGGATGCACGAAAATGAAATCCGAGGAATAAACAGCGAATCCTTCCGGTAGTTTTGTTTCCTGCTCACTCTTTTTTCTCTTTTTTCCGGGGACCAGACGGAGTCCAGAAGCCAGCCGTGGGCCGTCAAGCTGCAGGACCCAAAGCCCGCACGGGCTCACGTTAACCTACCATGCATCTTTTATTGTCCGCCCTTCTGGGGGAGGGAGCAAGGGAGAGATGGTTTGTTGGCCCAGTCCTCAGCCTTGGTGGTCGGTGCACAAACCGCTCCCCCCACCCGCCGAGGCTCTTCTCTCGCAGCTCTGATCCCTGGCTGGCATGACCTGATGGTGCCGAGGTTGGGCTGAGCGCAGCGAGGTTTCGTCTTTCTGCTGTTTGTGGTTCGCCTTCCCGTCCAGATGGTTCTGAAGGGTTCTCTCGGTGGTGGAGACTGCACGGGACTGCGGGGCTCAGCGTCAACCGGGTAGTTTTCCTTTCTGTTCCATCCAGCGCCGTTTGAGGTCGCCTCGCTCCTACCGTGCGTGACATTGATGCCCAAGCGTCCTCCGAAGGCCGCCTGCCACAGCACTGGGGATGCGATTGGCAGCCCGTGCGCCCTTGCCATCCATCGTGTGGAGTTTGTGCATAAAAAAGCATCACAAAGAACCAGACCCTAACGTGAATTCACTTGGGGTCCTCGATTGGGGTCCTCAATGGTAAATGTTCATGTCCCTAGCTAGTGGGCCCACAGCAACAGTGCTCCTCTTTCAAAACCCGGGAGGAGGTCCCCACGTCCCCACCGCTTGGGTCTGGAGGCGGCCTGTGTCGTGGAGTGGAGGGCGACCAAGGGTCATGGACAGAGCACCAAAAGGTTACCATCAATGGCAGCTGGTCAGTGCAACCTCGCCCACACGAAGGACCAGACGGCTGCCCAAACCGGTCGAGAGCTTGAAGTTGACGCTACGCGGTGGCTTGGGTGACTGATTCAGTCCGAGCCTGGCTGGCAGTCAGGGGGGGTCGACGAAAAAATTATGGAACTGCACTTGGGCGGAGGCCAAGAATAATGGCGAGATGATAATGCATGTGATGGCGATGTGACACAAGACTGGTTTCTGCATTATCGACATGAGCATGCGGGAGAGCCCGGTAGATAAAAGAGGATTAGCCCCCTCGACAGGGAATAGGTACTAGGTACCTAGCTACTGTACCGTGTACCCACCAGCCCAGCCCCGCGCACAGCACATATGTGCAAGCGTCGAGATCAATAGTTTAGTTTGATAGACCTAAAACAAAAGCCATTGAAATAATAACGCCCCCAGCGAGCTCAAACTTAGCCGCAGGAGGAGGAAGTCGAGCGCGCAGAGACTTGAGGTCTGGCACACAGCAAGGTCAGCCGACCTCAGTTTCGGCAACACAAGCGCTCTGCAGGAGAAGACCGACTGGCCGCGCTGGGAGGACCCCTGGAGGCCGACACGGAGATGGCCTCGGTGACGTATTGGCCGCACAGGAAGGCCAAGGAGCAGAGCTCTTCTAGACTCGCCAAATTGTTTCTGCACCCGACTCATTGCCCCGATGCCCAGCTTGGTCGAGATCTACCCGTCCGTCCTCTGGCACCAACGGCAGCAGCCGTCAAGGGAAGGGGAGAGACTGGGAGCATGACTCCCACACGGTGGACACGCGCCGATCGCCATCGTTGTTAGTCGCTGGCAAACGCAGGTACCGACCGCTGGCCTGGCGAAGAAGCCCCCGGGTCCCCGTTTTTTTTTCTTATTATTTTGTTTCTGTTGTTCCCTATCGTTCGCTCCCGCCTCATATTCCTTTTCCTTTCTTCGGGAAAGAAGAACCTTCTCCTCTCATCGGGAAAGAAGAAGGTAATGCGGGGCCAATCTTGGCCGGCCGGCCGTGGCATTGCGGAAGAAGTGGAAGACGAGACAAAATACACTTTGAGGAAGCTGGTCGTCGTCGAAATCAACTCTTGTTTGGGTGACTCGTACTGCAGCGAGCGCTGAGAGGAGGAGAAC